CTCTGCCATTGACCGGCCCCCGCTGTCCTCCCCACAGCAAGGAGAGCTCAACTCCTTCCTCTGGACCATCCGCCGTGATCCCCCCGCCTATCTCTTCGGCACCATCCACGTGCCCTACACGCGGGTGTGGGACTTCATCCCCGACAACTCCAAGGCCGCTTTCCACGCCAGCTCCAGCGTCTACTTTGAGCTGGACCTCACCGACCCCTACACCATCTCGGGGCTGGCCAGCTGCCAGATGCTGCCCCACGGGGAGAACCTGCAGGACGTGCTGCCCCGGGAGCTCTACCGCCGCCTCAAACGCCACCTGGACTACATCAAGCTGATGCTGCCCCACTGGATGACCCCGGACCAGCGGGGCAAAGGGCTCTACGCCGACTACCTCTTCAATGCCATCGCTGGCAACTGGGAGCGCAAGAGGCCCGTCTGGGTGATGCTCATGGTGAACTCCTTGACGGAGACGGACATCCGCTCCAGAGGAGTGCCAGTGCTCGATCTCTACCTCGCCCAGGAGGCCGAGAGGATGAAGAAGACGACGGGTGCGGTGGAGAGGGTGGAGGAGCAGTGTCACCCGCTGAATGGGCTCAACTTCTCCCAGGTAAGGAGACCCCTGGGCCTCGTGGCTTATTCCTCCTCGCGTTTTGGTTGGTTTTACAGGGGCAAACCCCAAGCTTGTTGCAGCGGGGCAGGTTTCTCATGGGCTCCGGTGGCCTTTCCATCGGGCTGCCCATTCTCCATCGTGCCGATCCGTGCTGCCTGTAAAAATCCTGTGATGTGTATGGTGAGTTTATCATGTGTGTTATTTATTTGAGAAGCAAACATCCAGGGTGTGAATGTGTGTGTCCGCTGGCTTGCCACTTTTGAGGGAAACTTACACGCCTCCGGTCCTGTCCTGGAGCTGGGTAAAAAGTGCTTTTGTTTGTTTGTTTGTTTTTAAATAAAGCAGCTCTGTGGTACTTGTCAGGAAGAGGATGAAGCATGAACAATGAAAAAAGAAATTTTGACATTGTTCAAATAGATTTAAGTACGTGCAAACTGTCAGTCGTCTTTTTAGTAGTCGCTCCAGGTCAAAAGAAGCTAGCTCACATTGCCCTTATGTACTGGGGGAAATTAAGTGTTCAATATGCATGGATTTTCTTCATTTTAGAACAGGTAAAGTTCAGCAAAAGAAACGGATGTAGATTAAGAAACAAAAGTTATTGGTGTAACTGGACTCCAGAATTCTTTCAGTGGATTTAGCTTTAAACAACCAAATACTAAGCCATGCGATCTATTTCATTTCAGTGGATTAATCAGGAACACAGTCACAGCTATTGACTTTGCTTTGTGAAACTGTTTATATGAAATCAGATTTACTAGAAATTCAGGAAATGAATGTGTGTGGAAGAAAACAAATAATCCTGGGGAAATTTAAGATGGTGTCAGTTACTGCTATGATATTTCATTTTTAACCTGCTTTTCGTCATTAGTTTTGGATCAGCCTATTTCCAGCCTTATCTTACTGTCCTAGTTTGAACAAAAAAATTCTTGGTGATGTGGGAATAAGGATTAAAGGACTGATCTTTGGTGTGATTAAAATGTCCTTAGAGTGCCTTCACCCCCTTCTCCCCTGAAGTCTAGTGGGAACTGTTTTAAGGGGAAAAAGTCTGACTTTCACTAACATTTGGTTCACCCGCTATTTCAACCAGAAGTCTAACTCTGCATACAGCCTTCATGGGAGAAAATTGGTTGCGTACGTTTTAGAAAGGATTTTCTTGTTTATCAACAGAAATAATTAAAAGAAAGCCCCCTCAAGACCTTTGCATTAATTAACACACATGCAAAAGAAGGAATTCATTTTACCTTGTTCTGTTTGAAAGGTTTAAGTGCCTATCCTCTCTGTTGAACCCTTTCTTTAAGGTGAGGTAAAAATAATTAACCATTCCAGATATCCAATAGCATTTGGTTGTATTGGGTCAAAAAAGGCAGTTAGGATCAAGCACGTGAAAGCACTTGGTTAAAAATGTACCACTTGGAAGCCTTTTAAATGTGAATCATATTACATTTTTTTCTTTTTAGAGGGAGAGAGAGCACAACAGAGAAAAGGGACAGAGTACAAAACTCACTGCTGTTCTTAGCATAATTCTGTTTTTCTCTCATCTCTAAATTTTAAATAGAAACAAAAATTTCCCCTTCTTTTTGCTACAATAATAATTTAAAAAAGAACAGCAAAGGTATTACTGCTGTTGGCAAGTAAAGAACAATCATTTATGCAAAAGAGTTTGTGCTGATTAAAAACATACACTACATTTTAATTATTACAGAGAATTGACATTGCTGCTAAAATAGAACAGTGTTCAGGGGGATTTTTTCCTAGATTGAAACTTTTTCTGGGAACAAGGCCACCATAACAACATGAGACAAAATTAAACAAAACAAACCAGATATTTATTTTCTTGCTTCCTCTAGATTTCATGCATCCTGACACCTGGCTAGTTGTTTAACAACAGTAATTTGTAATGTTATCACACCGTCTGGCAGTCCTACTGCTTGGTGTATTACTGTGCTAATTTAGTGGAGTGGATTACTATTGCTAGGTTTCGCCTCCCAATTCCAGGTCTTGGAGCCTTCCTTAGGCAACACATAATTAAAATACACTAAAATGGAAATCAGAAATTGAGCAGCTTTTGTCTTGTAGGGTGTTTGCACAGTTTGATGAGAACATCTGTGATAAATTACAGTTCCAAATCTGCTAAGGGCATCAGCAGTTTTTACCTGTTTTCAGCATTACTGTTACGGGAATACTGCACATAATTTCTGCATTCAGAATTCAAGTTTTAAAACTGTGCCTTGCTGAATCATGTCAATGCTTTTGTTTCCCCAGTCCCCAAAGTCCAGTATTTTTGCCCTAAGCAAATTAAAATAGAAGAAAAAAGCTGCTTTTTCCTTTCTTCTCCTCAAAGGCAGCTTTGTGCTACTGCAAATATTTAATCTGACTACATGCACCAAATCTGTTAATCTGATACCGCGAGGAGGAGGAAATCTAGGAGTGGTCCTGGTGTGGTACTTGGTTTTGATCTGCTCTGAAAGAAAGCGGATACACTTGCATTTTTGACCAGGAACGATCTTTGAAACATTCTGTGCGTCGCTTTGAAATGTTGATTGTCTTAGCCGGATGAAAAGATTAAGGTGGCTCATATAATTAGCTGCTTCCTGGAGAGCCAGCTCTTGCAGGTAGAGTACGGCACATTGTTTTCCATTGTAAACCCAGAAACTTTGTAGTCTGATGCTCCACTCCCCCTGAAATCTCTGCTCGTCGTTTCATGCCGCTCTCCCAAGGCAGCACGGCTTCCATCGCCCTCCTTCCCTGCTGGCTGGCTGCTATTCTGCAGGGCTGGCGGAGGGAGCATCCCTGCTGCTCCTGGGGCTCCGGCAGCTGTTGGTCACACAAAGTCCAGCCCTTGGTATTGTATAGCTGGTGGCAGGGTGTTTGTATCACAGTAAAAGGTTGGGTTGGGAGCCTGGCGACAGGGGGATTCAGATCAGGTTTGGCTCAGGTTGAAATTTCACTGCTCCTTGGTATACGAAGTTTCAGGTTTTTCACTGAAGGTGGGACAGAAAGAGCTGAGAGGTATGCAAAGAAGAGGAAGGAGACAATGTTTCTGGCTGACTGCAGAGATGTTTATTTACAGAGTGGCCAGAACAGTGCAAAATCAAGTGGGCCAGGACTGAGAAGAGCTGGTGAGGGGCAGATGGCATTCAGGTCCTTCTCTTGTTGGGATCCTGGCAGAGGCAACGCAACCAGCGCCATGACAGGCCGTGAGGACTTGTCCATGTGTCCTCCCAGGGTCAGCTCGGGAGATGATTAAGCTTTCCCTCCTCTTTGGTACCCTCATGTGGGTCTGTGGTGGAAAGCTCTCCCCAGGCTGACATATACTGTTGTTGGAGTAAGGAGGACGGTGATGGTAACTCACAGCTGCTCAGGTCTGCCTGCGCCCACCCTTATCGCCCAGGGCTGTGGTGGGACCCCCACTCAAGGTGAGAGCCCTCAGGCAGCACCGCATCCCCACTAAAAGCCTGTACAGGTAGCAAGGGGAAGGTCTTACTCCTCTACCCAAACTGCTCTGCCCTGGGGAGATGGATGGCAGCTCTCTCTTGTGTTTGATCCTGTTTCTCAGCAGGGTCCCCAGACCGAGACAGTGTTGATATCCCTTCCTCCAAGTTAGACATAAAATCCCTCTCCCATCCCATCATGAGCTTGCTCTCTTCAGGGAGAATCTGCATTCAGCTCATGCCAGATGCCCTGAATCCCAAGGTTTGTGAGGGGAGTTTTGTGTTGGGCCAGACTCCATCCTGACCTGTCGGTGGGGGAAACCGTCAGGCCGGAGGGGAGCTGCTGGCACCCCTTTTTCTCTCCCTCCGCTGGCTGGGGCTTGCGGAGCCCTGACTTGGGTCTTCTCCGGCCTCTATCATTTCCAACTGCAGGGGGAGATGTTAAATATCAAACCGGTGCTGATTGGATCAGAGACGTCCTCAAAGAAAGAAACCTCAGACCGTGCCAGATTAAACTTCACACTTCACCATTCTTCCCTTTTCATTTCTCTGCCGCCTCATTCTCTGCACAAATAAACCTCGTCTCCCTGCTTTCTACCAATGAGACAGCATTCAGGGGGCAGGAATGACTTTGTTAACAAAATCAGTCTTCATTTCCCAGGTCCTGCTGTTCCATCAAACCCTGGGACATGGCAGCTTTGATTACTCTAGTGATAGGATTAGAGGGGGAACAAGTGCTGGTTAATAAAAGGTCGATGGGTGGTCTATCACGTTTGGTCACTGACAGATCTGCAGTCTTGGAGCTGGACCTTCAGTGGCAAAACAGCACGACACAGTAATACATAGACAGGGCCACAGCCTGGACTTGCTATTCCATCTCCCTTGTCCCCTTGAAAAATTACACATTTCTGTGATCACAAAGCTGGGACTCTCGGAGCTGACTTCAAGGGACATTTGCCTGTTTATACTAATGAAAGATCCAGGCTCAAAGTTTTCCAAACTGGATTAAAGGGCTCAGTTTCAGAGCTAGTTGACTTAGTTTGACAGTCTGTGTAGTTTATTTGAAGGAGTATTATTGATTTTTTTTAATTTTATTTTTTATAGGAAAAGTGGGTTTTGCCTAATATAAATTGTGCCCTTTTGCTTTTAAAAAATTCAGGCTTCATGAAAAGGGCAGGAATCATCAAAAATAGTTTAGTATGTATCATCTGGTTTGATTGCTGAATATTGTTGAAAGAAATATTGTTAAAAGGTTTGATTATATGTAGTTATACATAGTGCACATAGTTTTTACCTTGCTGGGTTTAATTAAACTATCACCCCATTTATCCCCTCCCAGGGTAAAAAAAAATTCCCCTGGTGAAATTAACCTTGGGGTAGAAATTCATACAGCAGAAATAGAAATCCTTCCATTAGCTCATTTTGAATACTAGTGGAGCTGCTTTACATCTTTACCAGGGGAACTGCTGAGGGTGAAACTATGCAGGTATTAAAACTACAGTAGTCACAGTAACACCTGAAAGGATCAGCAGCTGACGTTTTATAGCTGTAACTAACTGTACGTGT